GAAAGTTTTCTGAACTACAGCTTTAGATTAAAGGGTAATGGAGGAATTTTTATTGTGCGTGCGCACGTGTGTGTGTGTGTGTGTGTGTGTGTGTGTGTGTGTGTATGTGTTCCTGTACAACTGCGTACAGGGACCTTTGTAAGTTTTGGTCCATATGGGGACCTCTGATCCTTTCTTTGTGACATAACGGTTTAAGAATCAGGTTTTAGTCAGTGAGCATCCTCACACAGACATGACTAAGGTTTATATGGTTGTGTGTGTTATCAGTAATGTCCAGCTTCTCAGATTTTCCTGCCAAACATCCGTTTTCTTAGCAACCGAGACAGGAAGCAGGAAACATGAGTCACACGGAGAACTTCTAATCGTTGTCAAGTATTTTTACTTTGGTTGTTTTCTTGTGTCCAACATGCCTTCTTGCTGTTTGTGTTGCCATGGAAACAAAATGCTTTTTAACCAGATCCACACAGACCAGCTGGTTAACATGCTGTTAACAATTAGCAGCTGACCAGCTGCTTGCCAGTATGCTAACATGAGCTAATAGGACATTCCTCTGAGTTTGCCAAGCCTTCCCAGAAGATTAAAACAATAAAGTGACACTAACTATTTATGAAAAACCAATTACTAATTTCCCTCCAGAATTAATAAAGTATCTTTGAATTTGATTATGAATGAATGAATACTTTACGTAGATTTTTGCATTTTGTCATTTGAATAGGAATGGGCTGAAAGGGAAGCTTATTTTGCCAATCCCATCTTACGTATCAGATATCTTAAGTATTCCATGTAAAATATCCTAGTTTTATATATCCTATATATAAAACATCCTAGGCTGCGCAGTGGCGCAGTGGTCAGAGCTGTTGCCTTGCAGCAATAAGGTCCTGGGTTCGCTTCCCGGCCTGGGATCTTTCTGCATGGAGTTGGCATGTTCTCCCTGTGCATGCGTGGGTTCTCTCCAGGTACTCCGGCTTCCTCCCACAGTCCAAAAACATGACTGTTAGGTTGATTGGTCTGTCTAAATTGTCCTCAGGTGCATGATTGTTTGTCCTGTGCGTCTCTGCGATGGACTGGCTCTCTGTCCAGGGTGTACCCCGCCTGATTGCCCGTTGACCGCTGGAGATAGGCACCAGCCCCCCCACCCCCCCCCCACCCCCACCCCCACCCCCGACCCTACGTGGACTAAGCGGGTTCAGAAAGGGGATGGATAAAACGTCCTGTAGTTTAAATTATCAGTTTCTGATATGTTTTTGGCTTTTTGATAACCATGCATCAGTTTACTAAGTCAAACGAGACTTTTTTAGATTAGGACTGATGATGTTTGGGATTGGTATTCTTTCTGTTGAGAGCAAGCCCCCACAATGCAGCTCTGAAATTGAAGCAAACCCGGAAGTACCATAAATTGCAGTTCCACCCTCATCCACTAGGGGCTGGTGTCAGAAGCGAGCAAATCCTCATTGACTCCCATGTTAAAAATACCAATTTCACAGCAGAAATAAACATGTTTACAGCATGGTACCAAAACATGTTTTAGGTTTAAATGATCTAGTTTACACTCATGACAACTCTGAGGGGGTGAATGTTTTTCTCACTCTTCTGTTTAAGTGTATTAAAAGCCTAAAATTCTGTATAATTAATGAGCATCAGACCCATGTGACCACAAAGCTAGCTCCGGGGAAAGGCCTCAGTAGAGCCTCGGTCTGGCCTAGAAACTGCTCCGGGATTTTGAGTCTCTGTGTTTGTGTATTCTTTTTTGGATATTATTTGTGCAATTGTTGGACAAAATGACTTGCTGTGGCATTAATTGCACTAATAGAGCGTCCAAGGAGTCTCCACTTCATTTTTATCGGTAAGTTAAATTATATGTATGTATTTTATGTCACTGCTGCCTTTAAACTAGCTGAGTTTATCGAAGTAGCTAGCTAACTATCATTTTAACATGTAGCATGTACTGTTTAACCATGAAATTTAGATGTAAAATACAGTAAAATAATTAATAGGGCATATTTCGATGGGTAAAAGGGTAAAACCCAGTGCATTTAACATAAAAATGGGTTGAAATATGACGGAGCTCTTGGAGGGACACTTCTGTGTTCCATTCTTCCACCCGGTTCTCCCCAGCGGTCAGCCCGGTGCATGTCTGACCGATGCGGAGCCTCCTAGCTGCTGCGTGGGCTGAACGCTTGTGGAGCTCTTGGACTCGTAGAGAGACCTGACCGCAGAAATTCTGCAGCTCAATTCCCTACCTAAATGCAAAGTTTGAGAGACGTGGTTCACTTCATTTAGCTAATATCAGCCTGCACGGCCTTCGGGCTAATTTGTCAAGTTCACAAAATGTGGAACGGGATGTAAGGTTAGAATCAGCGGTGAATCGGAACATATCTCGAAGCCCTGGCCGACGAAATGGTCCACATGACTATTACTGTCAGGCTCGGAGAAAATTCGGGTTGTTTTTGTGTCCATCGATTCTGCAACAGCGACTCTAACGCAGCACTAGTTGACAGACATCATTACAGCGTGAACAGGTGTTCTGGGAATTTCTCCTACCCGGTAAACCGTCCTACCCGTCGTTCCTGAGCATGTGCGCGCATGCGCACAACACAAGGCTATAACTAGATCAGCGTTTTATCATCTGCATCAAACAGCACGACTCGGGGTCTCATGTCCTGACAAGACCTAGAGAAACTCATTCATGCTTTCATCGCCAGCAGGCTGGACTATTGCAATGGTCTTTTTACAGGTCTTCCCAAAACAGCTGTGAAGAAACTGCAGCTTATTCAGAATGCTGCTGTTGTGTCCTTGGGCAAGACACATAACCCACCTTGCCTGCTGGTGGTGGTCAAAGGGATCGGTGGTGCCTGTGTTCGGCATTCCTCGCATCCATCAGTGCGCCCCAGGGCAGCTGTAGCGATATTGTAGCTCTTTACCACCAGCGTGTGAATGGGTGTGTGAATGGGTGGATGACTGTTGTAAAGCACCTTGGGGGGTTGTAGAACCCTAAGAAGGTGCTAGACAAATACAGACCATTTACCAAGAGAACCAAACACATCACTCCTGTTCTTAAATCTCTACACTGGTTACCAGTAAACTATAGAGTCCATTTCAAAGTACTTCTACTGGTTTATAAATCTCCTAATGGCATGGTTAAAATGTTAAACATTAATAATAATATCCTGAGGTGTGAGTATACTGATGGATTTACTTGTTATAATCAACAAATAATAATCTGGTGAAGTTTAAGATCTGAAATTAATCATTGCAAGAAAAATATTCATTTTATCCCACAATGTAAAGTACAGGACACTTTCATCAAACACTTGAAACATGTTGTTCATTCAACAAAATGTGATTTTATGAAGTTTTGAAGTCGTTTATGTCAGGGAAGATAACTTTATTCAAAGATGATGGATAAAAAGTGCTGCGTCTTGCAGCCTTGAATACTTGTTAAGAATGTTGGCTCAAGTTCATAAATTTCCTATCGGCACCGCGGTGTCAGATCGACCTGTATGCAGGCGTTTGCCTGTTGGTGAAGTTGACTTCTGGCCATTTTCATGAAATACTTGGCCTTTTGGTGCGCTTCAGTGGCAAGGCTCCGGGGGTGGTCGAGATCCGCCCAGAGTTCCTTAAGGCTCTGGTTGTTGTAGGGTTGTGTTGGCTCTGCAATATCGCGTGGACTAAGGGGCAGTTTCACTGGATTGACAGACCGGGGTGGTGGTCCCCCTATTGATAAAGGGGACCGCAGGATTTGTTCCAACTACAGGGGGATCACTCCGGAGCCTCCCTGGTAAAATCTGTTCTGGGATTCTGGAGAGGACGGTCCGTCGGATTGTCAAATCTCGGATTCAGGAGAAGCAATGTGGTGTTCGTCCTGGCCGTGGAACACTGGACCAGCTCTAAACCTACATGTGTTTTGTGGATTTGGAGAAGGCATTCGACCGCATCCCTCGGGGGCCAGGCCCACTTATATGGGCTGTTAGGTCCCTGTATGACCGGTGCCAGAGCTTGGTCCGCATTGCCGGCAGTAAGTCGGACTCATTTCCAGTGAGAGTTGGACTCCGCCAAGGCTGCCCTTTGTCACTGATTCTGTTCATAATCTTTATGGACAGGATTCAAGGCTCAGCCAAGGGTTAGGCACGTCCAACTGGGAGAAGAACTAAATGAAGAACCAGGACACGCTGGAGGGACTATGTCTCACTGCTGGCCAGGAAAGGCCTTAGAATTCCCCCAGAGGAGCTGGACCAAGTGGCTGGAGAGAGGGAAGTCAAGGCCTCTCGGCTTAGGCTGCTGCCCTCACGACCCGACCCCGGATAAGTGGTCGACCCCGGATAAGCGGCCAAAAATGGATGGAGTGTTTGAGTTGTTATGACAAGTTGTTATGTTTACAATTTTTCTTGTAATCTTTTCGGTTGTTTTTTTTCTGCATTCAGTGACACCCGTTGTGTTTTAGGCTTGTCGGCCATCTTTTTTGGGGGGGTCCGTTGCTGTTACAACATAGGGAATTTCTATTCTAGTTATGTATTTGGTGACGTTGTCTGTGGTGGTCCTGGAGTACGTTCTGATCACTTGTTGAATATTGCTCGGGTCGGGGTTAAGAGGAAAGATGGAAGTCGTGTCTAATTCCTTTTATTCTGAACTCGTTTCCTCCTGATAATCAAAGCTAAAGATGAATTTTCACCTCTGAGGTTTTAGTCTGTGTTTTCTCTCCCGTTAGAAGCAGATTTTTTTTACATCTTCCTCCCTGCAGGTGGAAACAAGGTGTGCTGTTCTTTTTGTGGGTCTCTCTTGTTTCCATGTGAACGGCTCCACGCCGTGAGTCTGAACCTAAAACGGTCTCCAACTGTGCAACAGAAACTGATCCAGCTCTGATTTAAATCCTCTCTATCTTCTAACTGTTTGGTTTCCTTTCTTCTCCCTCTCCTCCCTTCCTCCACATCCTGGCCTTCCTCTCCTTTACTTCCCACCCACATCCTCCCGCTCTTCCTCCTCCTTTTCCTGTCGTTCTACAGGATGGGCAGGGCAGCTCTCTGAAAGCAGTCTGAACCTCTGAGACCTGTTTTAGGATAACTCGAGAAAATACCTGGACTCATTCTACCAGTCAGTGGAATGTCTCTGTCCTTCCTCACGTCTTACCATCAAAACCGCCTCTGGAGTCTGTTCTTCCACTCCCAAACGACCAAAATCCAGAAACGCCAGAACCTGAACCACCACCTCTGACCAGACCAGAACCCCGTCGGATCGAGGAGTGCATTGAGCCAAAAGAGGAACGTCGAACTTGGTTAAGACCAGTGGAAAAGTTTGATGGGAGTGCTGACGATAGGTGAGTCTCCTACTGGTTTTACTGGAGGTGTTTGTGTTTTACTTCCAGGACCCAGTGAGTCCAGAACAAACTGCTTTTGTGTGGTTAGGTCGTTTAATAGAGGTGAACCATAGACGTTCTGGTGCGTGGATCCGAAGGATCAGTGAAATCTATCAGCTGACCAGTTGCCCGTGAACTCACCACCACTAAAGACTGACTCATCTGAGCGATGGACTTTCCACGAGGACGGTTTTCCTTCCAGGCTCATAAATGTAAAATGCGAAAAACAACATTTCCGCTAATTATAACTTTTTGGGGAAATGGGTTGAAATCCAAATTGGCGGGTCAGTGATGAGCGGGAATCAGGAATCGTTGTTAGGCCCCCAAAACCAGAATCTGTTAATAATTCTGCTCGGCGCGTCCCCATCCAGGGTCTTACACGCTTTTTACCGTGTGTAAATATAATTCTGTGGCGTCTGAGGACAGCTTTAACGACCTCAGATCCTCCAGATCTTCTCATAGTTCTCATTATGGATGAGTTCCTAAACACGTCTCCATTTCTGATTTGGTTATTTTTGCAGTCAGGGTCAGATTTAGGGTCAGGGGGAGGATGCACTTTGTTCTTGTGAATGGCTGAATAATAACATGGAATATCTGAGGTGACTTTTTATTTGACAGAGGTAATGAAATAATGTTGGCTGAGTCAGTCACCCTTAAATCTGAAACAGAACTCGACGGTACCGATTGGACTGACTAATCGGATCTGAGTGACGACAGGTCAAGAGATCTTGCTGTTGTCAGAGTGGGATGTGTATGACTCTCAGCTGATTGGCTGTGGCTGCCATCTTGAAATGGATTAATTCCAAAAGTTAAAGTTTTCAAGTTTATTTATAAAGCGCCAAGTCACGACCAGAGTCGTCTCAAGGACCTTCACACAGTAAACAACACAGGTCAGGTCATTAAGCCAATCAGTAACAAGTTTCCTATATAAGGAACCCAGCAGGTCGCATCGAGTCACTGACTAGTGTCAGAGTCTTTACAGCAATCCTCATACTAAGCAAGCATGCAGCGACAGTGGAGAGGAAAACTCCCTTTTAACAGGAAGAAACCTCCAGAGAATCCTGGCTCAGTATAAGCAGCCATCCTCCACGACTCTCACACACACACACACACACACACACACACGCACGCACACACACACACACACACACACACACACCAACTAGTGTGTCTATGGTTACATTGTGATTTCTTAGTAAACATTCTATTTGGTGAGAGATAAACTTTATTGTATTTATCCTAGTGGATCTATAATTAAACGGGTAAACTAGCAGTAGCACATCCAACGTCAAGGAAAGTAAAAAGTTATTATCAGGAGAGGGAGAATGTTTTAGTGGTTAGCAGCAGTGTGCTAGTCGATGGCCCCCTCCATGAGGCCACCACAGCTCAGCAGAACATCGTTGTAGCTTCTTCTGGGGAGAAAAACACTTAGAGAGAAAATAAAGTTAACAGCTGAAATAGCAGGAAATAATACAGTTAAAGAGCAGATTGTAGAAGAAAGTAGTCGAGTGTGGAACGTGGTCAGTGTATCCTCACGCAGTCTAAGCCTATAGCAGCATAACTACAGAGATAACTCTGGATAATCTATCCTATTTAGATGGAGGCATGTTGGAGGCAGGGCAAGGGAGAGCCGTCTTTACCGACTGTACACTCCACTCTTTAATCAGCTGTAGGCGTCCATCCAGACAGAAACGTTTCCTGGGCCTCTGCCCGCCTGACTGAGGTGGATTAGTTATCATTAATAGTTGAACATGTTGCGGCATCAGTAGCATCACACACAGTTTGTATGTTTTGTACTCTGCTGAAGATTTCCCATCATTCTCCAGGAGTTTTGAGTTTTCAAGCCTCCGTGGAAGGGAGGCTGCGACCTCTCTAGCAGCAGCATTGTTATTTCTCATGGAGAAATAAGCTTTTATACTTTGTCTAAGTCATAATATGCAGCACTGCCGGTGGAGGTGAGATAGCACCAGATAGCTGACAAGCTAGCTCCTAAATGGCACAATGTGTTCATTTTTAACCGTAATGAAGTCACTTTCATCTGTGTTTTTCTGACTTTAAAACGGTGGCTGCAATGAAGGAAAACTGGATCTTAGCTCTCGTTGTCTCTGACTGTCAGAGACAGAGTGGAGGCGCTAAGGTGAGCCCAAGAGAAGAGATCCAATGAGGGCTAGATTTATAAACTAATGCTAAAGATCTCTAATCACAAGAACTTCCTGTCAGCTGTCTTCCCAAGGCCACACCCACCTTACCAGAGAAATGGAGATAGCTCTAAACACCTGTCACCGCTTTCTAGGTCCAAACGTCTTTTGTTGTAGGGACAACTGGACTTCAAATGGTGTTTTTCTTTTTGGGACTCTGCTAGTTAGTCCTAACGTTGAAGGCAATATGGTGCCGACTGCTGCGGCTTGTGCTTTTTATATTTTTGTTACGGTTTTTGAGCCACTCTTTAGCTTATTCCTGTCCCACCTTCGCCTACCATCGACCGACTCTTTTAGATCTTAGGTGTGTTCTTACTGTGTCGTGGTTCTAATTCCATGCTTTCGTTCTTTTTTAAACACAGAAACAGTTTTGTTTACCTGTTTTGTAGCTACAGTTTCTAAAGTGGGCCCTGCCATTTTGGACGGGGGTGTTTCATACTTCTTTTAAAAACGCAGTTATAAAACCAATGTTTAAAAAGCCTGGTTTGGATCACTCCAACTTTGCAAACATCTCGTCTCGTCTTCTTCCGTCTAGCCGGGTCGCGAGGGCAGCATCCAAACTAGGGAGTTCAATTCAATTCAAAAATACTTTATTAATCCAAGAGGGAAACTGATTGCTGTGGTAGCTCAGAATAATAATAATAATCAAGTCATCAAAGAGTTGTTGTATATTACAATGGCTGTTGGCAGGAAGGATCTCCAGTAGCGGTCAGTGTTGCAGCCAAACTGAAGAAGCCTCTGACTGAAGACACTCTTCCGTTGTCGGACAGTCTTGTGAAGAGAATGCTCAGGGTTGTCCATCATGTTCTTGATTCTCTGGAGAATCCTTCTTTGCATCATCTCCTCCAGCGGTTCCACAGTCGTCCCCAGAACAGAACCAGCGTTTGTTATTAGGCTGTTGAGCCTTTTCAGGTCCCTGCTTCTGATGCTGCTACCCCAACAGACGATGGCTGAAGAGATTACACTCTCAACAACAGACTTGTAGAAGATCTGCAGCATCTTGCTACAGACACTGAAGGACCTAAGCGCCCTCAAGAAGTGCAGTCTGCTGTGTCCCTTCTTGTAAACGGCTGTGCTGTTCTTTCTCCAGTCCAGTCTGTTGTCCAGGTGAACTCCAAGGTATTTGTATTCCTCAACCACCTCCACTTCTTCTCCCATGATGGAAACAGTGTTTGACTCCACCCTGTTTCTTCTGAAGTCTAAAATCATCTCCTTTGTTTTGTTCACGTTCAAGGTCAGATGATTGTTTCCACACCATGCCACAAAGCGCTCCACCAGCTCTCTGTACTCAGCTTCCTGTCCATCTCTGATACACCCGACAACTGCAGAGTCATCTGAGTATTTCTGTAGATGACAGGTCTCTGACTTGTACTGGAAGTCTGAGGTGTACAGGGTGAAAAGGAATGGTGAGATTACAGTACCCTGTGGTGCTCCAATGTTACTGATCACCTGGTTTGATGTGCAGTTCTTCAGCTTCACAAACTGTGGTCTGTTTGTCAGGTAGTCTTTAATCCAGGCGATAGTTGAGGCCCCCACCTGTGTCTTCTGGAGTTTCTGGCAAAGTACATCAGGCTGGATTGTGTTAAATGCACGTTCCAGACCGTCCTCTCCCCAGCCATTCCCACCAGCTCCTTCGGTAGGACCCGAAGGCATTCCTGGGTCAGTTTGGAGATGTACTCCTCCTGCAGGCAGGACATGCCTGAAACACCTCCCTGGGCAAGCATTCAGGAGGCATCCTAACAAGATGCCCAAACCACCTCAACTGACTCCTCTCGATATGGAGGAGGCGCGGCTCTACTCCAAGTCTCTCCCGAATGGCCGAGCTCCTCACCCAATCCTTAAGGCTGAGCCCAGCCACGCCGCAGAGTGTTGCAAACTTCCAGCAAATTTTTTAACTACCGTTTCTGTCTAAGGTCTATTCCCAGATCACAGCAGCCATGAATAGCTTTTCTTTAGTTGATGTGTTACAGTCTGGCTTTAGGCCACTTCATAGTACTGAATCTGCCCTTCTACACATGAGCAATGACTTCCTGGTGGCCTCTGACTCTGGGTCTCCTGTTCTGCTCCTTCTGTTGGACCTTTCAGCAGCATTTTATACAGTTGACCATGATTTTCTGCTGTATAGACTTGAGAGTTGGGTGGGACTTAGGGGTACCCCACTTCAGTTGTTTCGTTCTTATCTGTCAAACTGGGTTTTTATTGTTCAGAACTGTAACTGTTCTCCTCCATGCCTCACTCCCCTGGGTAGTGCCGCAGGAATCTGTGCTCGGGCCTCTCCTGTTTTCAGTTTACATCCTCCCCTTGGATTTTCCCGGAGCAAATATGGCCTGGGCCACCATCTCAGCTGCTTTTGTCTATGCTGCTCTGTCCCTCTGGAATGCTCTTCCTCTCTTACTGAGGCTGACACCATCCCTCCCATGTTTCAAGTCACTGCTTAAGGTTCACTTTTACGACCAGGCATTTTTAATCTCTTGATTATTTATTAGTTATTATTATGTGTTTTTATTGTTGACTTTGGTATGGCACGGTATGATGGTGTGGTAAGGTACGGTACGTGTGGGAAGGTACGGTATGGTATGGTATGGTATTATGGTGTGGTAAGGTACGGTATGGTATGGTATGGGATGGTATGGTATGATGGTGTGGTAAGGTACGGTATGGTATGGTATGGGATGGTATGGTATGATGGTGTGGTAAGGTACGGTATGATATGGTATGGGATGGTATGGTATGATGGTGTGGTAAGGTACGGTATGGTATGGT